GCGGGGGTGTGGGGTGGGGTGGGGGGAACTACAGCATTTAACAAATAAGAAATTAAGAAATAATAACATATTTTAATGGTTAATATCGACTTGATTTTTGCACAAAAAATAAAAAACGATCACAATTAAACACGATCGATTATGAATATTTAGGATTAATTGTAAATAATCAAAAGCTACAGTGCGATTAATGAGACTGATCATTTTAATTTTTGGATTGCTTGTGATTATTTGTGATTAATCGTGAATAATCTAGAGCTACTGTATGATTAATCATATAAAATAATTTAATTGTTGGATCAGTTTTTGATTAATTGCGAATAATCCACAGATACCAAATGATTAAATTCGTGATTGATCGCCAATAATCCACAGATACCAAATGATTAATCAGATTAAATATATGTCGCTGTAACGTATATGAAGGGGGAAATGATTCTTCAGTCTCTTTAACCTCCACCTCCAACATCAGGACACAGGGTGAATATGTCAGGGGGGTAAGTCAAAAAGAGTCAGATGTAAAGTTTGTGTGTGTTCCCTGTACAGTAACTGTTACCAGGCAACAAAGACTGAATGGAATAAAACTCCATTTCAGCATCAGGAAGAGAAAAAAAAAAAAAAAAAAAGAAGGAAAGAAGGAAAGAAAGGGTGGGAGAGACAAAGGGGGGGAGATGATGAATAATGGATGACACTGTGTTTACCTGACACTTTGTCAGTGTGTTAATAAGTCGGACTGAAATAGTACTTTATCAATTTCTCCGAGGCAGACGAACGGCTCTGTTTCTCAGACAGTTCTGGTGAGAACAAGGTCGTGGAAAAAAAAGAACATCGTTCTCTTATTGAAGCTCTCGTCGTATCAGTGGAACCTGTCGCGTGGACTGATGTCCAAGTTTTAATGTCAAAAGAGACGTCTTTGAATTTTTTTCTCCTCATGTCAAACCTGATTAACCAATAACCATTTGAACCATTAATTTATCTGTAAACATGCTGACATTAGAAAAATCCCATGATGCACCTCCAAACAAAAATGTCAAAAAAAAAATGTAGTGAAATAGAAAGATCCTGGAAGATTGTTAGATTTTATTACAGAGACTTTTTTTTGTTCTTTTTACTGAAGTTGGTGAGACACACAGAGACACAAACACACAGACACACACACACTCTCTCTCTCTCTCTCTCACAAACACACACCGGACTCTGTTTTTGACACACAGGCCATTTCCTGGCCTATCAAACCGCAGGCTGCTCTTCTCGGCCGAGGTTACCCAGAATTCCTGCAGCAGCTGGCTGCAGCTTTCATGTGGTGACGGGCAGGTGAAGAGGTCACACGGCCCGAGCCGACCAGTCAGAGAGCAGACAAACAAACAAACAAATAGTGCAGTGTGAGAAACATCGCAGAAAAGACTTTGTTCGAATGGGAACACCATGTCTGAGCAGCTGGTCTGCTATTGGATGGTTTTAGCTGCCAATCAAGGATTAGGGCGACACTGAGAATAACAAAAGTCGTAAATTTATGAGGAAAAAAGTCGTAACGTTGTGATGTAAAAAGGAGTAGGTTTAGCAGAAAACAGTTGCATCGTTAGGAGAAAAAAAAAGTCATAAATTTGTGCTAATAAAATTGTGAGATTACAAGATTATTAGGGCAACATTGAAAATAACAAAAAAGAAAATTACAAAAATTAAAATCGTAAATCTATGAAATTAAAGTCGTAACGTTAGAAGAAAAAGTCCTAAGTTGCCTTATTTATTGAGGAAAAATAAAATACTTTGGACATGGAATTTGTTTGGATCAAATTGATATTAATGCGTGGACCAGTAGATGTCAGTCATGAGCTAAACGTGTACCTAGCACCACCTACAGGCCAAAAAAAAGTGCGACCTGATTATGCACGTGTCTCCATGTTCAATAATTCATTCATTTTCAGATTTTTTTTTTTTTAAATCTTGTCCAATAAAATGAGTCCAGACTTTAAAAGTCAGGAAAATGCCACGTAGGGTGTAAAATAAAAATAGTTCTAGTGTCACGTGGGCAGTTCACGGGAGAGAGGAGCAGAAAGGGGAGAAATTTTAGGCTCACCCTCTGGGGTAAAAAAAAAAAAAAAAGACTTCACAGACAAATATTACGGTAATTGTGTGAAGGGCAGAGCCATCAATACACTTCCTCAGGATTGGATTTGCAATTTCAGCATATTTCCTCCCTAATCACCCCCACCTCACCCCCCCCCCCCCCCCCCCAATTGCCGGAACAGAAACACACCAGTGTAATGAACACCTCTCTGCTCATTATACAAAGAACAATAGTGCATACAAATGAATCACTTTCAGCATGTTCCCCAAATTACCTCACCCTCTCCCCCCTCTCTGCTCCTGCTGCTCCTGCAGAACTAGGCTCCAAATAGCAGCGTGTGTGTGTGTGTGTGTGTTACATCAGGAGGTCAGGTGGCATCAATGACTTGAAGGAGGAGGAAGAGGAGGAGAAGGAGGAGCAGGTCTGTTATGGATCTGATGTTCTCCTCCATGTGGAGCTTTGGCCCAGAGGCAATGTCTCTGTCATTGGTGTGGAACCCCAGGGTTCACCTCCTGGGCAAGATCGAATCCCGTTTAGGGCAGTTGGTACCTTCCAGTGGACTCACCACCCGCAGGAAGGTTCAGGGGGGGTTGGTACGGTGCAGTGTGATTTGGGTGGAGACTGCTGCCCCTGCGACCCGGTAACAGATAAGCGGATGAAAATGGATGGATGGATGGATGGATGTTCTCCTCCACACATTAGTTTGCTGATAGCAACACCAGCGTCTCCCTGCAGAGCTGCTCCTTCTCTCCTCGGCTCCAGGAGGAGGTCAGTGGTGGAGTTTAGTGATGACAGAAGACTGTAGTACCTTGTGTTCTCCAGCAGGGCTCTGCTGGTTTGTCAAAATTTAAAAAAGTAGTTAAAAAGAAAAAAAAATCATCAGTAGGTTTAATTGACTTTTCTATCGTTGCCCCCTTCTGGCAAACTTTGTCATTTTTTTCCAAAGAGAACCACAGTTGATCCTGGAGGTTTTTATTCTCCTCTGTTTCACTTCAGTCTCTCATTTTCAGGTGTTTATGTTTCTGAAACAGAGAGAAAAAAATCCAGATCGTATTCAAACATGTTCAACAGTTGTTGGAATAACATGTAATAACAGCTGTTATAATAACATGTAATAACAGCTGTTGGAATAACATAATAACAGCTGTTGGAATAACATGTAATAACAGCTGTTATTATTTTTAACATTTTTTAAACGGTTCCACTT